ATTTCATATCAAAATGTTGTAAATTGGTATCAATTCCGGGTGATTTAACAGGACATATCATGAAGTCAAGGCGCAGTAAAACCTTCAACGTCACGGGCATTTTTAAAAAAAAAAATGGGAGCTTTCATTTTCTCAATATTTACCCTTAGAATTTGATACTGTATAGTTTGGGTTACCTTATTCTCTCAGAATAAACATCCATACACCATTTCTGATCCAGCTTAAACCTATAAAACTATAGTATGGTATGTTCAAGTTTGTGTTAAATCCAAAAACTGCAGATATTTCTGAAGTAAAGTTTGACGTCGGGTCTATCTAAACACATTCTAAACAGTCCAGATCAGGGTTTTGTCGATGAACTTCTTCCATCCATCCCGGATTGCCTTTTGATTAAGGTCTAACAGTCTAAAAAAAAATTTTACATTTTGTAGAGATGTGTCGGAAATTCCGCTGGTTTACTACATGTTTCATCAGGCTTATTTTTGGTCTCTGTTGGCGTTTTCCCAGCATGCTTCATGATTTGATAAAAGTGCGCTGCTCCGTCAAATCACGAAACGTCATTTTTGCAGTTTATTTTGTAGGGGTCACATCGGAGAAAGTTACAATATTTCTGTTAGTACTTCAGATACTACGTCAGAAATCTAAATATTTAATAATACAACAATAAAAAGAAATTGTAGAGAAAATTGTTGACTAATATCGTGAAATATGGAAAATGAATGAAGAAAATTTTGGATACCGCGTGTTTGTTTTTCAACATTTTTACCGTGCTTCGTACTTCACCATCAGCAGTATCAAATCAGCAATAATTTTATGAGATATTAAATAAAATAAAAAAAAATACCAAGATTTTATTGGAATCTTTAAGAAACACGTTCCGGTGAAATTTCAATTCTTTATGACGTCTGTATGTAAAAGTAAATAATAGCAGACGTAATTTTTTAACGGTCCTCGTAATTGAGAATCAGTGGAGAATTTTATTCCTGGAATAGGATTTTGAATTTCAAATATTCAAAAGTTCCCGCGCATGGTGCAGTAGTTAGAGCGTCTGCTCTAGAGTTGCGGAGTAAGGGACTGATACTTATGTGGCGGGTTCGAATCTCCTGCAAGATGTGGAGACTGGTCCTTCGGATGAGACGGTATAAACCGAGGTCCTGTGTCTGTGTTGCAGTAAATGTTGGCACAAAAAAGATCCCTCACTGCTCAATGGCCCTAAATGCCCAGTATAGGTATACATTTGCAGGCCTCCACCGGCAAGTGGTGGCGTCTCCATATGAGTGAAATTCTTGAGAGGGACGTTAAACAACAAACAAGCAAAAACAATATTCAACTAGATGAGATCTCGTTGCGAGCAACGAGTAGGTCTTCCGTCCGATTTTTCGATAAGATGAGATGATTTTGACTATGATCTTTGTTAAAAGATAATAATATATAGACTTCCCTAATTAGATTTATTCTTTTGATTTATATAACTTTATCAAAGAGCTATAGATGACATGCTTTTGGCCCCTCTGAGCCCCTAGTTTCAGGGGTCAGCCCCTTTTTCTTGATATCAAATGAAAGGTCTTGTGATTTTGAAAACTTTTTGTTCAAGAAATATTCAGAGATTTCTTTTCGTTGTGGAGATATGCTGAATGGAAATATTTAGGGGCCACCCCTCCAAGTCCTTAATGGGGCCGTTTGACAAAAACTGAAAAAGTGCACATTGTTTAGAACATTATTCTGACCATCTTTTGTTCAGCATTGCATATCAAAATATTCCCCCTTTTCGAGATATAAAGCATCAAAGATTTAGCATTCTGGCCCCTTGTGACCCCTTGTTACGTAACGTATGATCAGAATCTTATTATATATTGTTGTAAATCGTTAAGATAAACATCTTTGCTTCAGTAATGTGTTAAAAATTATTGATCGTTGAAGAGTTATAGATGAAAGACTTTTGGCCCCTCTGAGCCCCTAATTTGAGGGATCAGCCCCTTTTTCTTGACATCAAATGAAAAGTCTTGTGATTTTGAACATTTTTTGTTCAACAACAATTCAGAGATTTCTTTTCGTTGTGGAGATATGCTGAATGGAAATATTTAGGGGCCACCCCTCCAAGTCCTTAATGGGGCCGTTTGACAAAAATTGAAAGGGTGCATATTGTTTAGAACATTATTCTGACCATCTTTTCTTCAGCATTGCTTATCAAAATATTCCCCCTTTTCGAGATATAAAGCGTCAAAGCTTTAAAATTATGGCCCCTTGTGACCCCTTATTACGTAACATATGATCAGAATCTTATTATATATTGTTGTAAATTGTTAAGATAAACATTTTTGTTTCAGTAATGTATAACAAAATATTGATCGTAAAAAAGTTATAGATGAAAGACTTTTGGCCCCTCTGAGCCCCTAACTTGAGGGGTCAGCCCCTTTTTCTTGATATCAAATGAAAGCACTTATCATTCTGCACAATTTTTGTTATATATGTTTAAACAAAATATTTACAGGTATAAAGATATGATAGAAAACTTGTCAAATTTTGCGAGATGCTTGTGAGCCTATTTTTCGAGCCCACACGAGCTTTGGCGCCTTTTGCGCTGGAAAGATATGGACGCAAAAAAGCATATCTACAATCCCTCCTCTACCTTCACTGAGAATCTCAACTCAATATCTTTATTCATTTTGGAGTGATTACCAGGACAAGCCGACCCTCTGAAAATCAGATAATTGTCTATATCTCACCACCGGAAGTGACGTCATCAATATAAAAAATTTCCAATAAGGTTCAGATCAATATCTATCAGATCTGAAAGTTTCATGAAAATCGACCAAGTCGTTTCCGAGAACTCGCGTGCACAAAATCGGTAAGAAAAAAAAAAGAATAATAATAATAATAATAATAATAGGGAAAAAGAAACCGAACGAAAACAATAAGGTCTTCCGTTGGAGACGGAAGACCTTAATAAAGGACTTCTACCAGAATCAGTACTGACATGCAAAATTACCTATCATTTTATAGCATCAAAATTTCAAATGAAGGAAAGTCTGCTGTTAGAGAACGGCTGGGCCAGATTTGTTTTAATAATAGGAATCATCTTATTAGAGCCACAATGAGCATGAAAAGTTTTTATAGGAATATATATATATATATATATATATATATATATATATATATATATATATATATATATATATATATATATAATTTTAAAAAACTTCTCATCAGCAAGCAGCTAAAGCATAAAAAGTCATATTGATATGGGAGAACTCTCAAGTTGTGTACATTCAAATCATGACCTTAGGGGTAGAGTGGGACCACAAAAGTCAATCAAAGTTATTAGACCCTGCCTCCTTTTTGTAGCCTTTAATGTGCTGCGGATTAGAAAAGGTGAGAGGGGGAAGTGGAGAGTGAGAAGGAAAGGAGTGGGACTGTACAGGGAAGTGAGGGAAGGGTATTGGTAAGGAAAGAGAGAAGATTTAAATTGGAAAGGAGTTTGAGATTGAAATGAAGGGAAAGGTGGGAAAGAGTGGAATGGGAAGAAAGGGATAAAGATGGGTTGGAATTGGGAAGGGAAGGATTGTAGGGTTAGGGAGGGTAAGGGGGTAATGGTTAGGAGAGGAATTGGGAAGTGGGAAGGAATGGGAGGAAAGAGTATGGGAGGAAAGGGAAGGGTTATGGGTTGGACGGGAAGGGTTTGAGGTGGGATGGGAAGGGAATGGGTGAAAATCGGAAGGTAATGGGCAGAGGGTGGTATGGGATAAGTGGGAGGGGAATGAATGGTTAGAGAGGGTTGAGTTAGGAAGGGGATAGGAGAAGGGTAGAATGGGAAAAGGGTGGGATGGGGAAGGGTTGGGCTGCAATTTGTAAAATGGTGAAATCCTATTTGTAGAATCCGATATGTGAAATGGTGGTGGAGACTCCAATATGTAAAAGGTGGAAAATCCAATATGTAAAATGGTGGAAAATCCGATATGTAAAGAATGGTGGAGAATCCGAGATTTTAAATGGTGGAGAATCCGATATGTGAAAAATGGAGGAGAATCCGATATTTGAAAAATGGTGGAGAATCCGATATGTGAAAAATGGTGGAGAATCCGATATTTGAAAAATGGTGGAGAATCCGATATGTGAAAAATGGTGGAGAATCCGATATGAAAAATGGTGGAGAATCCGATATGTGATAAATGGTGGAGAATCCGATTTGTGAAAAATGGTGGAGAATCCGATATGAAAAAATGGTGGAGAATCCGATATGAAAAATGGTGGAGAATCCGATATGTGATAAATGGTGGAGAATCCGATTTGTGAAAAATGGTGGAGAATCCGATATGAAAAAATGGTGGAGAATCCGATATGTGATAAATGGTGGAGAATCCGATAGGTGAAAAATGATGGAGAATCCGATCTGTAAAATGGTGGAGAATCCAATATGTAAAATGGTGGAGAATCCAAAATGAAGAATGGTGGAGAATCCCAGATTTTAAATGCTGGAGAATCCGGTGAAGTGTAAATTGGTGGAGAATCCGATATGTGATAAATGGTGGAGAATCCGATATGTAAAAAATGGTGGAGAATCCGATATGTAAAATGGTGGAGAATCCGATATGTGATAAATGGTGGAGAATCCGATTTGTGAAAAATGGTGGAGAATCCGATTTGTGAAAAATGGTGGAGAATCCGATAGGTGAAAAATGGTGGAGAATCCGATAGGTGAATAATGGTGGAGAATACGATAGGTGAAAAATGATGGAGAATCCGATGTGTAAAATGGTGGAGAATCCAATATGTAAAATGGTGGAGAATCCGAGATTTGAAATGGCGGAGAATCCAATATCTAAAATGCTAGAGAATCCGATGATGTGTAAAATGGTGGAGAATCCGATATTTGAAATGATGGTGGAGAATTCAATAAGTAAAATGGTAAAGAATCCGAGATGTGAAATGGTGGAGAATCTGATTATGTGTAAAAGGTAGAGAATCCTATATTTAAAATGGTGGAGTGTCCGTGATGCGAAATGGTGGAGAATCTGAGATATAAAATTGTGGAGAATTGGGTATGTAAAAAGGTGGAGAATGTGATGATGTGTAAAATGGTGGAGAATCCGTTGTGTAAAATGGTGGAGAATCCGAGATGTAAAACGGTGGAGAATCGGATGATGTGTAGACTGGTGGAGAATAAATTTCATTCTGAAATGACATATGATATGTGAAAAAACAAAATAAAGATCGCATGAATATTCACAGAAATTAAAGTACATGTATGTAAGATCCACAATATTCGGTCATATCGGATATGGAGGTGGGGGTTGGATGCTGTTGAATTATTTCACCAGTAAGGATCTTTCAGATATGAAATATGATAAACAACAAAAAAATTAACATATTCACACAAATTTACAATGTATAAGACGACCACTCCCCTGGAGGGGGGATGAAAATTTTTATCATTAAGGGTGCGACTGCAACGCTTTACAATACTTTTAGTCTGTATCATCAGCGGTCGATCATGTAGATATTTGTTTATTTCATCAAGCATTAGGGCTGCTCTGCATTTGTGACGCTGAATGATGTAATTCTTTCATTAAGTGGCGATTTAGCAATAGCAGTAGGGAATGTCAATTATTAATGTAATATTGCAATTGCAGCGCTTAATGATATTGCTATCATTAAGCGGCGTTTAATCATTAGCAGTTGCTACACAGCTCTACATAAAGCTATAATGTTGAACTTTGTGTTAGTCTAGTCTTTGCAATTCATATACATGTCCTTAATAGATATTTTAAATATTCCCAACAATCAAAATGAATTTGAATTACCTTACCTTTACTGGATTCCTAAACTTCATAAAAATCCTTACAAACAAAGATACATAGCAGGTTCCAGTAAATGTTCTACCAAGCCTCTTTCTTTTCTCCTCACTAAAATATTTACTGTAATGAAGGAGAAACGTCAGGAGTACTGTACAAAAGTATATTCGAAAAGTGGTGTAAATCAGATGTGGATACTTAAAACTTCTAAAGAACTTTTGGGAAATTTAAAGTCACAAAATTTTACTAGAATCAAAAGCTTTAAAATGTACGACTTTTCAACACTTTATACAACCATTCCCCTTGATAAATTGAAAAAAATGTAACTCGTAAATATACTTACCTTGTCATTGGTCATTTACAAAATTATTTTTTAAAAAGCACTTTGATTGTACATATAAGTACTCTGAAGTTGATATTAAAAAGATGCTTGAGTTTGTGATTGACAATATCTAGGTAGTTTTTGGAGATCAGGTCTTCCAACAATCTGTTGGAATTCCCATGGGTACCAATTGCGCCCCCTTATTAGCAGACCTGTTTTTGGATTCATATGAAGCATAATTTATTCAAAAACTTCTACATGAGAAGAAGAAAACACTTGCTGTGGCCTTCAACTCAACATTTCGATATATCGACGACGTATTATCAATTAACAATAGTTACTTTCATATGTCGACTCGATATATCCCAGTGAGCTTGAAAAAAAATAACACAGATTCTGACACATCTGTTTCATATTTAGATATTTTACTAGAAAAAGACGTTAATGGTTACCTAACAACAAAACTTTATGATAAAAGTGATGACTTCAAGTTTTCAATCGTCAACTTCCCTTACTTATGTAGCAATATACCATTATCACCTGCATATGGGATTTATGTCTCTCAGCTAATTCGATACGCAAGAGCATGATCTACGTATGAACAATTTCTAAAATGAGGCAAGCTATTGACAAACAAATTGACAAAACAAGGATATCAACAGTCTCGTGTGAAATCATCATTTCACAAGTTTTACGGTCGATACAATGATCTTGTCAGCACATACAACCTATCATTGAGTCTAAGGGCTACTAATTGTTAGGCCATTATTTATACATTGAACTGTCTACGGATTTCCCCGCTTTTTATCGATCATGACATGGAGCACACGGCGGGTGTGACCGGTCGGCAGGGGATGCTCACTCCTCCATGGCATCTGATCCCACCTCTAAATTTTAGGGTCCGTGTTTGCTCTGCTCCAAATTTGTATCGTTTCATTGGACTTTTGAGATTGAATACTGTTCGTTATCTTCATATTTCATACATGTATTGCATAATGTAGGCCTAGGCTTTCTAATTTGGCAGTGGGTGACTTAAATGACCCAACTCAATTTTCTATATTTCTTAATTATCTCCACTTTAGGGGTCAAAGGCTGGTAAAGGTCTCGAGGGGTGCAACTGATGTCACTAAGTTACATTACCAAAACCTCGAGTTAATGCCTACCGTCTCAAATAGGTTCTGCCAGCTAGTCACATGTCACACCTCCTCGTGGTGACCCTGGAAATGCCTTCAGTAGCTGAGTGACAGTGGCAAAAGGCGAGTCTCCAGCGCCTTTAAATAACTGGAACCTGTGACTAGGGGAAGAAAAACCCCAACAGAAAACCACCGGTCCTCCGGGTCCAGGGGGTTTTGCATAGGGTTAGCAGCCCTATCATGTAAAACCTCTCAATGCTACAGAAACCAGAGCAACAGAAGAAGAAATCCAACGCTTGACTCAGGGAGAAGCCTCACCTAGAGGTCATAAGACGCAGACTGGTGAAAGCCGTATAGAAACCAGTCAGCCGAAAGTTCTCCTGACGATGAAAGCAGCAACAAGAATAGGAACCTGGAATGTGCGAACCATGTTTGAAACAGGGAAGGCAGCCCAGGTAGCCAGAGAGATGAGGAGATACAACATCCAACTACTTGGAATATGTGAGAGCAGATGGAATGGAACTGGTATGTTTTCATTGACTAGCGGAGAAAAGATCATATACTCTGGACATGCAGATGAAAACCATGAACACACTGAAGGAGTTGCCATCATGATGTCACCAGCTACTGCCAATGCACTGATTGAATAGGAACCAATCTCATCAAGGATTATGACAGCAAGATTCCACTCCAAAGGAAGAGAAGAACTGTAATCCAATGTTACCCACCAACAAACACTGCAGATGAAGAAACAAAAGAAGATTTTTACACAAAACTGCAGGCAGCAGTAGACAAGGCACCAAGGCGAGACATGAAAATTTTGATGGGTGACATGAATGCCAAGATAGGTTCAGACAATTATGGGAAAGAATTCATCATGGGTACCCAGGCACTTGGAAACATGAATGAGAATGGAGAGCTGTTCACAGATTTTTGTGCATTCAATGACCTTGTGATAGGAGGAAGTGCCTACCAGCACAAAAACATCCACAAAGAGACTTGGATCTCCCCTGATGGAAAAACCAAGAACCAGATAGACTTCATTACTATCTCAAGGAAGTGGAGACGCAGCTTCCTTGATACAAGATCAAGAAGAGGGGCTGATGTAGCTTCAGACCACCACCTAGTACAAGGCACTATTAAAGTCAAGTTGAAAGCCTTCAAGGACAACTGTGACAGACCACACATCAAGTTTAACACCCAGAGACTTCAGGAAAAAGGCACAAGAGACACCTTTAGCATCACACTGAAAAACAGATTTGAGGTTCTTAACAACGTCTGTCAAGTAACACCACTAGAAGAACACTGGAACTCCATCAAAGACAACTGGAAAGACACATGCGAAGAGATCCTAGAGAAAAGAGAAAAGCAAGACAAGGAATGGCTTTCAAGAGACACATGGAAACTGGTTGAAGAAAGAAAACTTCTCAAACAGCAGGTTATGAGCTGTGAGGAGGAACAAAAGAAACAAGAATTAAAAGACAGACACACTATCCTATACAATGAAGTAAAGAAAAGTGCAAGGAGAGATAAAAGACACTTCTATAATAAGCTAGCTACAGAAGCTGAGGAAGCAGCAGAGAAAAGAGACGTCAGTACCATGTACAAAATCACAAGAACCCTGGCTGGGAAGAGACCACCACAGACCAAGCCAGTAAAAGACAAGGAAGGCAACGCTATAACAAAGGAAGAGGACCAGAGAAAGCGCTGGGCAGAACTCTTCAGAGAACTCCTAAATCGCCCAACACTAGAAACAACACCAAACATACCACCAGCAGACTCTGAACTAGCAGTGATCACCGCCCCTCCGACAAGGGCTGAGACCATCAAGGCTCTAAAGAAACTAAAGAGTGGGAAAGCAGCTGGGCCTGATGGAATTCCTCCAGAAGCCCTTAAGGCAGACATAAAGACTTCAGCAGATATGTTACTACCTCTCCTGCAGAAGATCTGGTCAGAGAGGAAGGTACCAGCTGATTGGAAAAAAGGACATTTAGTGAAGCTACCCAAGAAAGGAGACCTGGGACAATGCAAGAACTGGCGTGGCATCATGCTCCTCTCTGTCCCAAGCAAGATCCTGACAAGAATAATACTGGAAAGACTCAAAGATGCTATATAAGAACGACTTCGTCCAGAACAGGCAGGCTTTAGAAAGGACAAGTCCTGTACAGACCAGATCGCCACTCTACGTATAATAATGGAACAGTCACTAGAGTGGCAGTCAACACTGTATCTGAACTTCATCGACTTTGAAAAGGCCTTTGATAGTGTTGATAGAAAAGTCATCTGGAAACTACTCCAGCATTTACAATTACATTTACAACTACTCCTAGCTTTATCAACCTCATACAACAATTGAATGACGAGGCTACATGCCAAGTCATCCACAGTGGAAAGCTTACAGAAGTGTTTGAGGTGCAGACAGGGGTTAGACAAGGCTGTCTACTGTCACCAATGATTTTTCTAGTGGTAGTGGACTGGATCATGCGGGAAACAACTAGAGATAGCAAGACAGGAGTCCAGTGGACTTTCACTCAGTGTTTGGAAGACCTCGACTTTGCAGACGATCTATGCCTTATGTCCCAGAAGTATGAGCATATGCAACTCAAGATAAATAGGCTTGCAAAGGAAGCAGCAAAGACAGGTCTACAGGTGAACATCGACAAGACAGAGGTAATGCGGCTCCACAACAAACAGCAAACACCGATTACGCTTGGAGAGCACAACCTGAAAGATGTAGACTCCTTTACATACTTAAGCAGCATCGTCACAGTCACTGGTGGAACAGATGAAGACATAAAAGCAAGAATTAATAAAGCGAGACACATCTTCATCACCCTCAAGCCTGTGTGGAAATCAACAGCACTGTCCACACCCATAAAACTTCGCAACTATAACACCAATGTCAAGTCTGTGCTCCTCTACGGGTCTGAAACATGGAGAGTCACCAACACCACCTCCAACAAACTACAAACCTTCGCAAACAGATGTCTGCGCCACATACTAAACATCAGATGGCCAGAAAATAAACAACAAGAACTTGTGGGAAACAACAAACCAAGACCCAATCACTAAACAAATAGCCCGTAGAAAGTGGCGGTGGATTGGACATACCCTCCGAAAACCATCGGGAGACATTACACGCCACGCACTCGAGTGGAACCCCCAAGGCAAACGGCGAGTTGGGCGTCCCAGGACAACTTGGCGAAGGTCATGTGAAGAGGAAATCAGACACTGTGGACATAGCTGGGAACAATTGAAAAAGGCTGCTCAAAACAGAGTGCGATGGAGGACTGTTGCCGAGGCCCTATGTTCCACCAGGAACCAAAAGGAACCATGATGATGATAATCTCCACTTAAACAAACACCCACGGATGCTTTGTGTTACTTTTGTTTGATTTTTTTTCCTGAAACTAGTTATTGTCACTGCAGGTACTGTGAGCACTGAATTCACAAAATGAGATCCCCATTCCCGTATCAGTATAATGGTAAAGTCCATTTTTTGCCATAGGAAACACCAAACCTGTCCAATCAGAACATTAAAAAGAAGGTGGCACTGTTTAATAAAAATGCTGTGAAAGCCTTTTTAAATCTTATTCAATGGTATAGAAGGAGTTGCGGATAAGATATGGGTACCCCCAACTGTTACAAAGGTAAGAAGGTATGGAGAATAGAAGAATGTATGGTGGGAATGATGGAAACCCCCATTATTATATACCCCCTCCCATGTTTTCAAGTCCCTCGTTTTCACTTGTCTGGAAAATAGTTACAAATCATATGAATATTGTAACACAGGGAATCAAAAAGCCAAATCGTATAAATAATTCATACAAAATGGGAATTCAAAAATTCTATGGAAAGCAATTCTGATTACATGGATATGTACATGTAAAACAGATTTTTGTTGGAAAAGAAATTGACCAAATACTGCATAAAATGTAATCCTTAATATGTTCACTTATGAGTACCTGTACTGGTTATTTTTGTTGGAAAAGAAATTGACCTAATACTGCAGAAAGTGTAATCCTTAATCTGTCCACTTATTAGTACATGTACTTGTTGTTGCTATCATGTTTTTGTGAATTTATAAAGCTTTGTGACATAATAAGTTTATTTTTCCTGTTCCAGTGATTTTAAAAAGAAAATTTACTCTCCTCTCCTCAAACTAATTGGGATATCTCAGTTTATACAATTTTTCTTTATCCAAATGTGCTATGTGGAAATTTTAGTTATATATATAAACTTATCTGTGGGTACATATAATGAGACAACAGGTATCTAACAATAAAAAAAAACAGTTCAAGTTTTATGAGGTACGACCATTCATTTGCACGAAATATTCAAGAAGACAAGCAATAACAGTGCACTCATTACAAACAAAAAAAGAGTCCTAGTATTTCTTCTGTATTTTATTGCCATTAGATGGTGTATATATGAATTATGTTTCTTAAACTATGTTTATTTCTTAAATAATTGGAATTTCATGCAAGAAAATAATCTATATACTGCAACATAATTTCACTGCAATGTTTTTTTTTTAATTTACTTATTTATATTTTACTTTACCGATCACGGTAGCCTAGTGGTAGGGCGTTCGCTTCTTGATCGGGAGGGCCGGATTAGTCTTGTTCGACACCTCTCAATTAGTTCATTTTCCAAAGGAATGTCTGCAGGCTACAACATAAAAAAAACTTAAGTTTTTAGCCCACAATTATGAAATGGGATATGTCTAACTGTTATCCAAGGGATGGGACAAAGGCCTGGAAAACTGTTGTCCAAAACCAAGTGACAAAAGTCTTACTGTACCCTAAGCAACCTTTAAATGAGTATTTATTACCTTACTTACAATATAATTTATTGATAATTATATATATTGTATTGAAAATTCTTCTCAAGATCAGCAATGTCGTGATTAGTTATATTTATATGGAAGTATCCTCACGTAAAGCTCAATAATGATGACACTTTTTCTGAAAAATAATCTCATATAAATTACAACATCAACTTCAGTTCTTGGCCTTTCATTTATAAAGTTATCAATGAGCAATTTCCCAAGATGAATAGTGTTAAGGTATAGTCCAAATATATTCTCAATAGTCATTGTCTTTCTCCATACCTTTTAAAAGTGTTATAGTTTGTGTAGACAATTTACCGTTAAAAACGAAAAGAAGAAAATCCCACCTACACAGCATACCGATTATGCATAAATGGGTGCAATAAACAAAACTATATTATTTATTGACATTTAGGACAAAAAACTTTAGTAGCATATTATTTTTTGACATTTAGGACAAATTCTTTTATTTGATTGAATAGATGATTAGATAAATATCTATAAATAAATTGTAATAGCAAAATAAATCAGTATAAAATGCCCACCGAGTAATATTATTTAATTTTATGATACTCAAAAAAAACCCACTTATGTTCAACCACTTGAAACTACTGGGTCATTAGTACGTGTATTAAACTGTATATCTTGGAGAAGAATTGTAATTAAAAATTATATTCCCCCATCAAATCATGTTCATAAGTATCCATAGACAAGTATTTCATAAAAATTCGCCGAATTATCTAATTTTTGTGATATATTTATCCATAGACAAGCATTTGATAAAAATTCACTGATTCACTTCATTTTTGGGAGATAAAATGAAATCCCAGCATCATATTGAAGGGTCAAAGTCATAAACTGCGCAAGCGGAACACTGCATTGCGCAGGCGCGAGCAGCTTAGTCCTAGGGTTGCAAATAGTCAAAATCTAATTGAATAAATTCCGAGGAATACGTTATTGCAATAGATCTTTTGACGTCAATAAACAACATGTCATCAAAGGATGTAGATGAATTCGATTATTTTACAGGGGAAGAATGTAAGTATTAGAAGAGTAAATTTAAAACAGTTTTCTATGAATTTGAATCTGATTTTCTTCCCTGTTTAACTAAGTGCCAGATAAAACAAGTGTCACATTGTATGGGAATATTTCAAGATTCTGCTATGAAATAATTAAATACGAGGGTTTTCAAAAAAAAAGAAATGGACATGGAAAAAAATTTAGTTTCTCTTTGCTAAATTATATTTCTTTCCTTTTCACAGTAAAAAGCAACATTTAATGGTCATTAATTTCAAATATCGTGATAATAACACATTTAATAAGAAAATAATGTAAAAATGAAGAAGGCATAAAGGTGTACATTGGCACACGAAAGCAAGCGTAATTTACGTCTCTTATATTGTCATGATCATTTTTAAGTACTGTCTCGTGTGCTTAACAAGCGTCTCTTAAGCATCTTAACTATTTTTTCAAACTGGCAAACCGCTCTCGACTGAGGAGCTCATTAAAATTGAGTCTACAGTCTATAGTTGTTTTTTTTAGATTCAAATTTCAGTCCTCGAAAGCTCGCCCTACATCGTGGAAAGCAGAGAATAGTTTTACAAGGATCGTGACCCATAACGCTCCTCAGTATGAATTCAACAAACAGTCCTCTACTACTTAAATTTTTTTTCGGTAGGGAGGCAAAAGCTGTCCTTGAATCCCTTATGCCATTTATAAATATACTTTTCAATTAACGGCCTAGTGTGTAATGTCACTTCTATATCTTTTTTCCGTCTCTGAAGTAGATAAACCACAATTGAAACAATGTTTTACATCCCCGTGCGCCGCTAACGCATCATGTGCAACAAACTCAATTCCAACAACACTTTGAAAATTAAGACACCAATCCTCTGTCTATGATGCCATTTATGTGAAAATTTGACATATAACTAGGATTTTGTTTCTGAATTCACTGAATGATATAAATTTGAGTTTTATGTTCTACATATCACTTGAGAAACAAATGCAATTGGAAAAGTTACATACATTAATGATTTTGGATTTTGTTCGTGCACCGACAGACCATATCGGCCTTCCTGTAAATCGTCATAATATTATTAATATCAAAGCCATTTATTTAACGATTTCGCTATTTTAAGAAACATTGAATCACTTATCGTTCTGCAACATTTTGTTGGTTTTGGTCAAATGTTTACAAAGTTATAAACATTGTCTACTACTTTTATGGACAACCCTCGTACATGTATGAAAGAGTTCCCTGACAATGGTTTGTAATCATAAAT